ATTTAAAGATATTCTACATTTGGATAAGGCAGTACATTATATCTCACTGGTGATAATTATCATATCATATGTCGCATTTTCACCCTATCATCTTGACTGCTGTTTTTGATTATTATTAAAAGCCAATTAAGATAGTTTAGGCATCTGTAAACATGTTTACGGTCAATAAAATACGAGGCATGTTTTTGTGGCCCTGAAAGATATTTGCATTCACAACATCGGAAACAGAAAGATATATTGTTTCAAGCAGAATGCTCATTTAAAAAAAACTGTGCAAAATCTCATGATATAAACCAAACCTATTCCAGAAGATGCAGGGGTCGAGATCTGCTTAAATATGCTGTATTTGGTCAAATTTAAGTGTGTGTTTTTTCATTCCATCCTTTCTCCTAGTTTCTTAGCCAAGAGTCCCCCAAAATAATATTGGTCACTCATTTCAATAGCTGTTTGTGGGGTATTCCTGTGTGCAAATTAACTGCCAGTGCTTTGAGATGTCTCGATGACATGGTAAGATGCCATACCAATTGCAAGAATCCTCATTATATTGATCTACTGGGAACTTTCAGCATTTGCTGTTTTTCTTTCCTATTTTCAGGAATCTTGGGAGTTTTTTTTAAACCATGTTCAATCTTATTTTCAATGTATCTTTTGTTTCTTCTATTTAAAAGAGAAACGGAGCAATTAAAGATTTTGAATTGTTAAGATCTTTATTAAATTGGTTAGTATCAAGCACTGATGAATGCTGCTGATTGTTTGACTGTCTGAAGATAGCAATTAACTGAATCAGACCAGCCAGAAACATATCTCGTGCATAAGATGAATTCAGTCTTTGTTGGATCTGAGAATTGTACTTTGGCCAGAATGAAGCTCCCTTATCCGTTCCATCACTCATCTCTTTATGGCAGTCACTTTGGATTGGAAGAAGAATGGCTTATTTATTAAAACGATGGCTTAACCATGAAGGACAGTTTTGCTAAGTAGCTAGCCTCTCATGTAACAAATGGATTACTTTTATTTGGTAATAAACACATTTCAAGCAGCAACAGCAGATCAATTTGAGCAAATTGCCTGTCAAAGAAAAAACAGGAACTTCAAATAAACAAAAATGAGTCTTGCGATTGTATGAGTTATGTTATTAATACTAATAATATGTATTATCTAAGGGATAAAGCATATCCAGTTCACAACAAAGGATTAATTCTAAGACAGTTTCTACAGGTCTTTCTTTGTGTAAAGACAAATTGGGAGCATTCGAGTGTAATTCCTTTGTCTTCTTGTGCTGATTCATGTAGGTGTAACTGAAACTTGCTTTCTTGCCAAGTTTGTACAGATGGGTTATTGTTCCCACCTTCCTCTTTTGGGCTGATATGGATCTCCTAAGTCTGTAATAGACAATTGCCTCCACCTCAGTGAAACTATTCCGCCTTTGTTGCCCGAATGCAATGCTGTGTACAACTATTGTTGTTCTCTGCTGCGTTTCTTACGTCTTCAGCACTGCCAGGGAGGAGTGATTTAGTTATCATTTTAACATAATATATTCATAAGAACTTTATTCTCACTTCAATAACTGCGTAGAGAAAGCTCTCCTCAGGAAAGCAATTAACATCACATTGCTGGTCTCTTCAACAACACCTTGCCATGTAAATTACAATTTCTCCAAGAAACCGCATGAACATCACGCCATCAGCACTATCCTGAGGTCACCGCAGAGTCTGGGTGACAAATTGGCGTGACATTGGCAGCAAGCGCAGTTTATGTCAATTAGGCATTTTTTCCGCCAGTGGCAAGATACCAGTTGTGCAACATTCAACTGAGGAGCAGTTGTTCTACCCCTTAATTTTTCAGCCAGTGATCACAAGTTTTTCACATCACTTTTCTAACAAAATTCCACCTCTTGAGTATTTGAGATGAAAGATCGATAGCACCCTCTGTTCACTTCTGGGACTAGATTTAACCCAGTGGAAACTAATGCAATACATCTTCTCTCTCTACCCACCAACGGTTCAGCCATTCTTACCCCACTCTGCATAACTGTGCTGCATTTTTGAGGTATCGTCCTTCAGATGAGACATTAAACCGAGGTCCTGTCTGCCTGTTCGCATAGACTTTAAAAATCCCATGAACACTATTCGAAAAGCGAAGGAAGTTTCTCCTGGTGTCCTGGCCAACAACCCCCTCACAAATAAAATTGACCGCTTACTACAAGGTTGTTTGTGGGATATTGCTGTACACAAACTGGCTGCTGCATTCACCCACAAAACACACACAGTCTTGTGCTTTGATACATCTCGACAATGTCATAAGTTGCTACATCAAATGCAATTATTATTATTTTTTAGTAATATTTGTATCTCTGACCATGTGTTCAGCCACCTTTCCCATCTCTCCTCAATTCCCCCTACCTCCAATTTAGGCTCCAGTTTGTTGTGTGAAGCGCTCTCAGATAGCCCCCTGATGTGAAAGACTATACAAACGTAAAATATTTTTGTTGTTGTCGGTAAAATGTTCAAATCGATCATGACCAAAACTTTTACGTGTTTTCTTCTCTCAAAGCTCCTATCTTCTAGCTTTGATTAACTCTGGGTTAAACCAATCTAATAGTGCTAAGTTGCAGACTTTTATTATTTGTACTTTAATAGGTTACATGAATGTTTAATTTCTGATATCATTTGGCAAACTTATTGATTATTATTGATCAACCTTGTACGGCTGGCCTGCTCACCAAAGGAATCTGCTCATGGTGTGCTTCGGTTGTAGTTACATTGATGCCCAAGAGCAGTCATCCTGTGGACTCCGGTTCATGTAGTTTGTTGCTGCTTCATGTTTATTGACATACTTGCCTACATAACATTCACTTAATTTCTAATTGATCTGTACTACTGTATGAACAGACCAAATCTGAAAATGAACAAGCTCGAAGCAACAAGAGAAATTAAATATACCCTCTACTCTCATAAAACAGCAAATATGCAGAACCGATACCTAGAAAAAAGGATTTAAAGCTTACCCTATTGGTAGTATTGTTAGGATAGACATAATCCGAGATACTATTTAGGAAACGTTATGCTGGTTAGTATGAAGAATGGAAATGTGAATAGAAATAGATAACCTAGAGTTTTGCTTTGATACAAATTCAACAAGGAATTGGAACCAGTGTTTAGCAAAGAAGGATCAATGAAGTGTGTGAGATTTGATTTTGTAACTAACTAGGTAATAATAAGTCCTTGCATTTGATATAGCACTTTTCACATCTTCTAGATGCCTCAAAACGCTTCACAGAATATACTGTAAAGTAAATTGACTGTATATTTGTGGGCAAAACACAGCAGCTAATTGCAGACAGCAATGCCCCACATACAGTCGTGGATTGAGTGACCCAAATTATTTTTTTTGAGGGATTATTATCCCTGGAAAAGCGATCCACCAATCAACTAACAACCATGTTCCTACTTACTGCTAGGTAAACAGGGGCGTCTGGAGTAAGGCAACTTGCCCAACATTTCGCCCTGCTGGGAGTAGAACCCAGGTCTCTCGCTTGCGAGGTGAGTGCTCCACTGAGCTAGATGAACCACACACTTTTTTGGTCCTATAACTTTGAGGTTCAACAAGTATTCTCTCAAAGGCACAGAAAGTGATAGGGCGGTGGAAGATATACCATGGTTGTTTGTGGGACATTACTGTGAGTGAACCTCCAAATACTAAGTCGATGCACTTCATAAAGCATGAGATCAAATGCAAGAAGTATTAATAAGAATCAACTCTAATGGGCCAAATAGATCCATTGTGTTTCATGAGTGGGTGGAGAAAGTGGAGGTAAGAAAATAAATTATTTTGTTCAGTAAAAGCATCCTTATTAACTTTTCTCCACTGTCCGCCCCTTCAAGATTAGAGGCACATTTAATTAGAGATAATGTAACTGTTTTTTTTCTTCTCTGAAAAACCACACAGCTTCATAGTTCTCATCATAGCTCAGGTATTGTTAGATTTAGTGCTATATGGCACATTCCCTGGATGACACAAAAGCACTTTGAAAAGGCCATTATATGAACCTGACTTGCATATCCACCCGGTTCTGTGAAGCGCTTAAAATGACCTCCCAACATGAAGGGCACTATACAAATGTAAATTGTATCATTTTGTAATTTGTTCAGCTCGAATCTCATCAATTAATTTCCCCAGATATTCGTCTCACATGCATTAATTTATTCACGGTTATTTAGTTTATAGAACACCAACATTACTTATTTTTTACTAGACTCGGGATAAAATTAGGAAATGTCTTTCTGAGAATCCAACTTTTAACTCATCAAGTGCCAAAGGAAATTCTGGAACGATTCTCAGATCATCATTAAATTTACTGACAAGTGTATAATCGGCACCTCACCAGCCTGCTGATCTGAAACCTCAGTCTGCTACAAAGACTGCAGAATAAGAAGCAAGAAAACAAGTTTAGCTCTTCTCTACTAAGGCACCGCATAACCATTCAATAACCACAAAGGGTAACTGGGACTGAAGTCAATATCTGATTTAATTTACAGAGAACAGTAGCATTACTGATATCAGTCTATGTAAGACAGAAAGTATTGCATTCAACATGTACATCTAACCATTTGTAAAAAAGAGAAGAAATCCAAGGAAACAAAGCTGTATTTACATAGGGTGCTCTCAGTCTTTAATTCATAAAGAGCACAGCCCAACTACGTAAATTTAAGAACTCTAAATCTGAGGTTTAGCAGCAACACGTTACTGTGGAAGAACAAGGGGCTGACAAGTATCAATACTCAATAAAAGGAGATCACAATTCTGAACGTTACAATCAGTCAGGAAGCTGAGGAACTCCAAACCAATATCCCGATATGTAAAAACTTGTTCGTCCTCCAGGCCGACGTTCTACAGCGTATTTTAATTTAGCTTCAACAAGGTGGGAGGGGGAAAGTGAGGGGTAAGTGGTGGGGGGAGGGGGGAAAGAGGAGAAATAATCACGTCTATACCACGGAAAGTCTAGTTTGTCAAGGCAGTCATTATTTCTTTTGTAAGGTACAAATTCAGCAGAAATTCACAAAATATACACTGGCTTGTTATATCTGACACTGTTTGGCTGAGATTATTACTCAGGCTTGGTAGTCCAAACCAATGTCAGTGGTCAAAAGTACAGGAGACACAACCAGTCAAAAAAGTAACAAGACAATTAACCCCAACAGGACATGCTAGATTGTTAGTTACTCTATTTCCCTCCCCCCCTCCAAAAAAAAACTGCAATCATATTTTTTTACTTTTTAACATACAAAAATATGAGGACGAAATATAAATTAATATATATTAAAGATTCAAAATGGAGTGAAAGAGAAGTTCTAGCAAAGTTAGGTACAAGTTTTTTTTGATACAATAAATACTTCTTAATGATATTTTGAATACTGCGTGAACTCTTTTGAGGAAAATCACAATATCCAACTAAGTAATCCATACATCAATTCTCTATTTTGTTGTATAGTTTCCCCCCTCCCCATTTATAATTATATTACAAAGAATTAATACTGGAAAACAAGGCTTGCTAAACACTTTGTAAGCTCGAGTATGCTAATGTACACATTATACCAGAAATAAAACGACTGTTCACGTAACCAAGATATAAAATGACAGCGGAAGTTCCAGGGCTTCTTCATCGATGCACATTCTCGGTTCTGTTTCCCGCAGCGCAGTTTAATTCATGTCCCTAGTGTCAAAGGCGAGCTGATGAGACTGACAGTCTGTCGTCTTCTTTGTACGTCTGCTGCTCGCTTCCAGCAACACGGCCCCCTTCCCTTTGGAGTTAGCCCGCAGGATGTCCTGAGTAGGAGGGCTTTCCTTCCAACCAGCTCAGAGAAGTCGATCCCTAGTCCAAAAAAACTGATTGGCTTCTGACAGGCATCTTACTTGCTTTGTGATGATTTTCCATTCAAGAGGACTCGAAATGTCTTGTAAATGAAGAAAATAGTCATTTTCTGATAATAAAAATATGTCTGTATATTACAATATAATTCAAATATCTCCACTATGGAAGCAAAATAAGTTCCCCCACGTTGTTTAGAAAAAGGGCGAGTGTTCAAAGCTTTACAAAGAACATCTCGAGCAGCCGCACTTCACGACCTTCTCCACATCTTCCACGAACGAAGACCCGTCGGTGCATTCAAAAGAGTATTTCCGTCGTTTGCTTCTCAGAGGTCCACAGCACTGTCCGTTGTCACACCCACCTCGGCATTCTAACCGCGAGACTTTTTTGGTTGTCTGGCAAGCAGCGTAGCCTTGCTGCTTCTGATAGTAATCTCGGATTCGTTCCCCTCGACAGGAGATTTCTGGAAAGAGAATGTGAAGTGCCGTCACTTCTGACTCACTTGCATTAGGGTTAGAATGAAAGAACACATTCCCTTTCTCTGGTCTCCACTTGTGCGCCATATAACAAATATAAGTCCTAAATCTGGACCACTCCTAAGGAAACTTGCCTCAAAGTGGTTTGGAAGAAGCAGTAAAGATTTTGGTGTCTACAAACATTGCGGCATAAAATATTTACAGAGTTGTTTAAGCAGGAAGGGACATCTGATCTTGAGGGAATAAGAAAATCCTATCACTGGGACATTGTGGTAGACGTTATCTATGTCATTGCCATGGAAAACAGGCTGTCCTGTACCGGCTCTTTCTACCATAATGCTACTGGCTCATACTGCACTTTTTCCTGCGCCTCATCACTTTGCTGCTGGAAGTGATATTTCTTAACTCCCAGCAGTATAAACAATTGATTTACTGTCTAATATTTAGTCCTTTTAAACAGGCATTGGATAGTCCTGCTGCATACAAAGATGGTTACTGACTTTCATTGAGTGATATGCCGCGGAACAGTCTGTTCAGCCCAACTAGTCTGTCTCTGTTTATGCTCTACATGAACTCTCTTCCCTCCTCTCCTTTACCCCTCTATTCCCTTCTCCCTGATGAATGCATCAAGTTTTCTCTTAAATACATTGATGTTATGCCGCGGAACAGTCCGTTCAGCCCAACTAGTCTGTCTCTGTTTATGCTCTACATGAACTCTCTTCCCTCCTATTCCCTCCTCTCCTTTACCCCTCTATTCCCTTCTCCCTCATGAATGCATCAAGTTTTCTCTTAAATACATTGATGTTATTTCTACGTATAAAAGTTCCCTTAACTCCCCATAAGATATCTTACAGTTGTACCCGCTAGTTTCTTTTTTTTCTAAGTACACTCCATTGTGACACAAAATGTATCAAAGTTGGTGACCAGATGCAAGTCTCTCACAACTAATCCATGTGTGGCTGCCACATGTGGAGCTCCTGTGGCAGCACTGACACACTTAGCTGTGGGGACTGAGAAGCAGAGTTTCACCCATTCTGTGGAAAACATTGAATGTATGGCCAAACGTAGGGCCTATCATTTGTTTTGTCTGTACAGAGCCTCAGTGAGAGTCGATTGGCCATGAGATGCACCAACACAGAAGAACAAGAGGACATAGGTTTAGAGTTGTCAAGGGCAATTTCTGGAACGACACCAGGAAGTTTTTCTTTACTCAGAGAGTAATCAGTAACTGGTACAGGCTGACAGGAAAGGTGGTTGAGGACACTCAACTAGTTTGAAAAGCAGCTTGATACTGTGGTGGGGGTGCGTGGTGGCTAGGGGGTTATTCTGGAGGGCTGAAATCGGATGGCCCGAAGGGCGTTCTTCATCCAAACCAATCTTGTGATCTTATGATTCATGAAACAGGAAGTATTTGGGAATTGGAACACTCCCAAAAATTCAATAGTTCATCCCCACAAAGGAAATTTGGCCAGGCATGTATCTGATATAATGATGTTAATACATTCTTTGCACATGTGTTACATATATATTTAATTTTTAAAAATCTGTTTCCTTAAGCCTATTGCAGTTCACTCCACTTATAAGGGACAGATGTCTGACTTTCTGTGACTTCTGAGCCACTTCTTCACTTGTGGAATGAACTAGGTTGTAACTATTTCCAGTTTGCTATTCGCACCTAGTCTGCAACTTACTTCCACTACCTCTCTGTCTCACTCCCTCTCTTTCCATCTTTAAGTCAAGCCTCAAATCCTACCTCTTTGAACCTAACCATAACCATCAACCCCTTCCCCTATCTCTCAGCGTCCAACCCCATCTCTGTGAAACACCCTGAAGCATTATCCTCCCTGAAGGGCACTAAATACATTGTAATTTGTTGTTGCTGATTTACACTTTTCAGTTTCTATCCTTAATAAATGCCGGATTCCGCATGAAGTGGCAGGAAATACTATGCTAGCCAGATACTGAAAACATGATGCTGTTTTGCTATGAACACGCAGTCAAGAAATGACAAGAAATGCAGGCTTCCATCACAAGTGTGGTTATGCTGGTCATGAACAGAAAAAAAACAATTATGCAACAGGTCACTGAAACCACTCATCTCTTAAGTGAAAAATTGAGGTGTGATGTGATAGTTATCACATTGTCCAAAATGGCAGACAAAGCTATGTCTATTATAATCGACTTGACCCTTACCTCCCATTACATCAGCACAATGGTTGGGCCCAAAGCCACTGTTATTGGAGGCCTGGTTGATAGGATATTTGTTAGTTCAGGGTATTAAGGGATATGGGGCAAGGGCGGATAATTGGACTTGAGGTACAGATCAGCCATGATCTTATAAAATGGTGGAACAGGTTTGAGGGTGAATAACCTACTCCTATTTCTATGATACCATCTTAGCTCCAATTGTTTTGGTTGAGTTAAGCCAGTATCCTGGATTCTTTGACATTGCAGTGTGCAAATTGGCTGCTGCGTTCTCCCAAAAACTAAACAGTCAGTAAACTTTACAGAATATCCTGCGAAGCGCTCTGAAATGTCTTCCTTAGGTGAAAGGCTTGGCATAAAATGTAAAGATTATTATTATTATTATCCTATGAACTGTCATTCAAATGTTAGCCAGCAACTCCTAATTGGTGACACACATCAAATTAAAACAACATTGGGGGTAGGGGAAAATATCACACCCATGGCAAACAGATTATTGTTCACTGGTCTCGACCACAATTTTCCACGATCTGATAACTACCACATTACACCTTAGTTTCCACCATTACGTCTCCAGTCTTCCGTTATGGAAATGCAAACCCACAAGCAGATGAGAAGAGCTATTCCTGTCACTAACTGCATGCTTAAACACTTATACTGACACAGCAAGAACAGCAAACTATAACAGAGTGGGAAAAAGGACAGGGAAAAGAATCTATTCAAAATCATTCTGGGAAATGGATGTCACCGGATTCAAACAAGGTGGTGTGGGGGTGGGGAAGGATTTTGGGAAGGGTGACTATGAGGAAGAGAGAGAAAGAAACTATTCACCCCTTTCCCAGTCATCTCACCTGCAAGAGGTGCTGTGATTGCTCAGTTGAAGCTGAGAGGTCAGAGGTAGAGTTTGTAATAGTGTTAAGTGCTGAATCATTGGTTTTGGCTGCTTAGTTCGAGAAGATATAGAAATGTTAAAGTGAGATAAACAGCAGTGAGGTTAAAAGTTGACAACTGAAACCTATTTAAAGGAAGGGCTTTCAAACTCATTTAATTAAAAACGCATTAAACCAAAGCATGCAACAAGTCAAAGGTTAGTATTTGCAAAGAGTAATCCAGCACACAGCCCAGCACAACATTATGTTAGTATGAGCCACTCAGTACAACTTCACTCAATTGCACACAGATTGATTCAACAATATTCCAAAAGCAACTTCAAAACAGGGAAACCCTAGACATTGCTCCTACACATCTGGTTTGGCCTTTCAACAGAACACAGAAGCACTGGTTTCAGAAAGAGCTACCAGACTTTCACTTGCGGGGTGAGGTGCACAATGAGTGACCAGTTACTTCACAGGCTAGCGAGTTCACCTTAATAAAGTAAAATACAGGGCATTCCTCAAATTATCTTGTTCAGGATATTATACATTCAGCATATTGGACAGGTAGCGCTTGAATGGGTTGAATTAGACCATTTTGAGAAGACACCAACAGGGTGGAAAATAATTCATTTCTGACTGACTTTAGTAATCTTGTGATTATATTATTTGATTAAAACCTGACGAGATTTGAATATAACATAACATAGAACATGACATATGATAATATCCATATTATCTATGAAAGTCACAGAGTTTTAGAAATTGTAGCTGCATTATATGGCAGACAGACCCACAGACACACAAACTCACACCCACACACACAAGTTAGTTAGAAGGAGCTGTCCATACCTTTGTCACAGTTCTCTCCAGTGTATCCACTATTACATTCGCAGTAGGGTCTGCTCAGGCTTGAGAGCCGGCATTTCCCATGCTTGCACCTGATGCTCTGACAGGGGTTAAAGAGTTCCTCTTCTTCATCACACAGCACACTTCTGAACCCTGGCTGGCATTTGCAGCTGTACGAGAAGGCATTGATGGGCACACAGGTACCACGCACACACCTGGAAACAACACACCCTTTAGTGGTTCATAAATCCAACCACAGTCTCAGAACTTCCTTTTCAACTTGCATTATTTTTGTGGAACCTACAAAGTTTCTACTCAAAGCTAGACTTGAGAGGGATGTCCCTGCAGATACTGGACAGCATGTGTATATTTCTTGAACGATTAATCACAACTTTTGGAAATGTGTTTGTAGCAGGAAATGGAAACTATTGGAATGAAGGGCAATAGAGCCACAAAAAAAACACACAATTGCCACCATAATGGGATTAACTAATAGTATCTCAGTCACTGACAGGAATCCAGTCGGTAAAAGGCGGAACATCAAGAACAAGTTTTGAGATCCTCATTCCAAAGTGTTGCACCAGGCTCCGTGAATCAATGATTCCCATTCTTGCCTAGCTCCACTGTCCCAAGCGCCTTGGGATGTCCTCCCGATGTGAAGGGCACTATACAAATGTAATTTTGTTGTTGTTGTCCCCAGAGGATCAAGTTCAAGGTCCTCATGCTCACTTTTAAAGCCCTCCATGGTCTTGCCCGATGCCACCTCTGCAACCTTCTAAAAACCCTCCAATCCACCCACTTCCTCCCTGGCCTGCTTCACATCTCCCGCTATGGCTGCTCCACTATCAGTAGTCAGACCTTCAGCCTTTCTGCCCCAGCTCTCTGGAACTCCATCCTGGATCCCTTCATCTTGCCTCTTCCCTTGCCTCCTTCAAGGTTCATCTCAAGATTTTTTTCCTTGACCATAATTCGATTACCTTCCCCAAATAAAATTGTCATTTAGTGTGTTGGGAAGTGGCTGTGTGCAAATTGGCTGTTGTATTCCCCTACAAAATACACAGTCACTATGTGGGGTCTACCCCACCTTAGCGTTTATTACTGTTGGAGTAATTTTCATAAAATGCACATTGGTGATTTTCACTATCACCCATTGGCGGGCGGGCCTTCAGCCTCTCTGCCCCCACCATCTGGAACTCCATCCCATAGTCCCTCTGACTCACCCCTCCCTTGCCTTCTTCAAGACCCATCTCAAGTCCCTCTCTTTGACAGTGCTTTCGATCACCCTCCTCTCCCCCTGCCCTCCACCCTCCCCAATCCCAACCCCCAGCTCAGACCTGAAACACTGATTGTCCAGCACTTTGGGACGTCCTCCTGATGTGAAAGGCACTATACAAATGTAATTTTGTTGTTGTTGTTAAGAAGAGGAGAGGGGAGAAAAGGGAAATTAAAAACATTGCGTCGCTGTAACAATAGCCCAAAATACTATTGCAGCGGACTAGGACGTTGTCACAAAGTGAAAGGTGCTATACATATGTAATTTGATGTCGTCGTTGTTGTATGGCAGGAATCTAAGCCTCCATTTTGTGCCAGTGGAGGAAAATTGAGCTTGGAGACTGGTGCAGCACCTCCTATCTGATATTTTTGCCTTCAAAACACACAGTCACTAACACTTTCCAGTAAATCCCATACAGCACTTTGAGATGTCCTCCCCACGTGAAGGCACTATATCAAAAGCAAGGATTATTATCATTTATTCACCCCAATAAAGAAATCTAATCACATAAACTGTTTGCTGGGCCTCCTCAACAGTGTTTTCAGTACGCCTCACAGGAATAATTGTTGTTTGCTCTACCAGTCTGTAATAATGAACAGACACCATACATTGCACAGAAATCCTGTCAGTCCACGCCAGGTCACTCTAATAATAAACTCTGAGGAAGGTCACAATTTATTGCTCATTTCCCAATTATCCATAAACATATACAGAACTATCCCGGCAATGGGGAATGGCTCAGTAATATTCTCGATTGGATCAAATATCGGATTTCAGCATTTTAGGGAATTTCAAAGCAGCAACAATTAACCATAATGATGATTGAGTGCAGTGGTTCAGAGCCTTGCTTTCCTGTCAGCTGGAGTCATTTTACAATAGTCCACTCTTTCCTTCTTTATTACTACCTGGTTAAAACACCAAGCCAGCTGCCAGGCTCGTGAGACGGAGAACACAACATGCTCTGAATGCTCCTCATACACAATCAAGGAATTATACAAAAGTGCTCCAAGGTCAGAAACATCTATCCTAAGCAGTCACTACACTTAGCAGTAAATACTTTTTTAAGTGAGATGTTTCAGGGTTATAGACACAGCATCGAATGCAAAGCTTATTATTATCATCAAATGCAAGGATTATTCATTTATTTATTGAGTAACTGATTTTGGGTGGGAATCTGGTAAGGTGGCTATGCCATCCTGGCTGGATGCAGTCATGTTTTTTTTGCTGGTGTGAGCGAACCCTGTATCAATGATCAGTCCCAGTATCAGTGATTAGGCATATGAAGCAAAGTTGCTGTTCCACTTACTTATTGCCCTGACATGGGTCGTTGGTTTGCTGGTCACAAAGCGATCCTGTCCAACCTCCTTCGCATTCACAGGTGAAGCTGGACTGCCCATTGACATGACACGTCCCATGCTTGCACATCTTCTTCTGGCAAGGTTCACAGCCTGGCACAATGCCTTCCTGCATCTGAACTTTCTGAAAGTCCTGCAGCTCGTTGTTGATATACAGGTTACGAATGCAGCCGTGGAAACTCGTACCATTCTGACCTGGTCCCTGGCGCAGAGCTGCCAGGTTGGTATTAATGGGCATCCCTAAACAGAGGAGCAAGAGCCTGGTGACTCATCTGGCACAGCAATTTCACAGTGAACACACAAAAATCACGAAGCAATATTCAAGCATATTCTAACTGGTGCAGCAAAGTAACTCATTTTCATGGTTCATTTCCTTCAATGATTAAGTCATTGTCACTGAAATCATCTTTCTATTTCATATGAGTCTTCTGTTTTTCATGTATTTTGTAACCTGCGTGAGGTCACACCCACGTTCTAATAAGGAAATGGGGCCAAATGACCCGCTTTGAGACACAAACGATCTCATCGTCTTATTCCCCTCTTTTTTACCGGAGTCCGGAAATATTAGTTGTCCGGAGTCCAGAAATGCAGCACAAGAGGAGATAAATAAACACATTTTTAATCTACGGGCCTTACTCCAGGGCTGCCGCATTCGTTTACAAACACACAGTCACTCCACTTCAAAATAAATTTGGATGGCATGATGAAACGCTATAACAAATGCAAGGATTATTGTTATAATAATGATTGCCTTTATTTATGTACCATTAATTATTATTAATAAGAATTCAAAATCATAGCAGCCAGCAAACAACTCTGGAGGTATGGCTTTTTTTTTAGCACTCGCTCTAGTTTTTCCGACTGTGAGTCGGGTCTTGAATGATCCGGAAAACTAACAATTCAACAGTATTTGTTGCTGAAGACAGTCTTATATCCAGAGACAAACTAGTCATGTAAAAACTGTACAAGTCTCCAGCAGTTTGAACGCTACACATATGTGGAAACAAACAAATTGTCTGATTTTAAACTACAACTACACATGACAGAGAGCATGGCATTGGGATGCACTTTCAGATTCTGTAAGCTTTAACACCATAAAAATTTGATTTGGCAACACTACTAATAATGCAGGATTTTTCCATGGTGTAAACATAAGTACAAATGGTGAAGACCTTCATACCTCCAACATAAAGAGGCGAGTCTTGGCTAAGTGTGGACTGTTTGGCTAAGTTGTTGATGCTCTTTGGGTTTCCTCCATCTACAGCCAGGGTCAGCATCTGATCGGCTGCCACCAGCTCCACACTGTGAAAGTTACCATCGTTGATTGTCTCCACACTATGGAAGGAACAAGAGAAATATATTGCTTGGATATTTTATACAGCACCAAATAACCGTTTAGATTTACATCCACTGGGACGTAAACCATAATAAAATGATAAATGTTTTGCAGTTTTTTATATTTATATTTACATAAATAAAATTGTGTTTATTAATATAAATAACCAAGAATATATTTTAATATAATTTATATAATACTCTTATATCATATATTTATTTGAATAATCTTTTGCTCTGATTTTATAATGAGGAATTCAATTCAAAATAAATTTATAGGAGGAAATCCCATTCCCTGTTAATTTAAAGAGAGAAATCTCTTTCTCTTTGATTTTATAATGGGAAATCCTCTTCTGTACAATTTGATAAAAGTTACATTTGCTGCAAAATCTACTATAGATAACAATATGTGAAGGTTTTGAATTAGAAATAAGATCACTATTTTAACAATCGACCACAAGTATCTGTTTTAATCTAATACAAGAGGCTGTGTAAATTCTCCAGAGAAATTCTTGGGTTGATTCCTCTTACCAACTCTGATATTGAATTTAATGACAATTTGTGACCAGATGTGGCCAATTGCTTTGCTTCATGATAAAAAAAACAGTATGCAAAGGGATTGAAATACAGCAAAGTATTTTGTTAAGCTGCATTTTTTTAATTAAATAGTAAAGTTCAAACTATGTAAGAAAGGCACTGTTTGTTGCAAATAAAGCACCTTTGTTAGGATCAAAGCCAGAGAGTTGTGTATACTGCCTTTATAATACTGCAGACTAAGAGTTCAGTTCTTCTCATTTACTTATTGTGATTTACTCATTTCATTAGCTTTTACACACATTTTCAATTAATGTTTGTCTGACTCGATCTACTGTCTCTTTGCTTGGAGATAGAGACTATGGTGTAATAAAGGAGTATAGGCTAGCTTGAAGCAAATCAACTTGAATTGGGAGAAAATAAGCACAGTCACTTCACAGTATATCTTGTGCAGCATTTTGAGATGCCCTCCCGATAGGAAAGGCAGTATATCAAATATAAGGATTATTATAATTATTAATACCAAAAGGGTAAGATAAAGAGAAGGGGAGAGAAAATATTTTCAAGACAGGTGTTTGCTGTTAGTAAGAGACAGAAGCATTGCTCAGATGCATGAGACACATCACAGTATAACAACAACTTGCATTTCTATTTATGCAGAACAAATACGTTTAGTCCGGTATTGTGTTAGGATTGCAGTAAATACCGGATGAATAGAGGTCACATCTCATGTCATTATTGATTCAGTGTAAAAGACAATACAGTGTGAACTCATAATAGCATCTGCCACCAGGAAGATACAAACTCCTTCTTTATAACTTAATAAATGGAACCTCTGGAAATACCTTGCTCTCGGCCCCTCCTCTATAAGTCTTCAAGTCTCATCTCAAAACCTATTGATTCAAATTTGCTGATGGTCACCTCTCCCTTCATCCCTCTCCCTTACTTGGTGTCTGATCCCATCTTTGTAAAGCACTCTCAGATGCTGCCCTTCGTAAAGGGCACTATATAAATACAAGTAGTTGTAATAACTCTACGAGACATTTTCTTCAACTAAAACTATTGTATATTTACTTGACTAAGTTTTCCTTGGTGGATGTGCAGAGTGGGTTCAGTGACACAACATTAGGGTCATATGTAGTGAATGAATTGAGTTGTTTTTGTGAACAAAGTTGTTATTACAGGAGCAATTACACAGCGAAGGACATGCCTTGCTTCCTGTCTGCTCCACTGGCAGACTCTTTTCAAAGATTGCACATGGGCCTCCCAAACTCTTCCCTTCACAAGCTGCAGATCATCCAAAACTCTGCAGCTCATGTACTCTCACGCACCAGGCTCCGCAACCCCATCACTCGCACCCTCGCCCGACCCCACTGGCTCCCCATCCTCCAGAGGATCGAGTTCAAGATCCTCGTCCTCACCTCTAAGGCCATCCATAGCCTTGCCCCTCCTACCTCTTTGACCCCTACCAACCTGCCCGCTCCCTCCGTTCAGCGGGCTCCGGCCTGCTCCATGTCTCCGCCTGACCCGTCCTACCATCGATGGCCGGGCTTTCAGCCTCTCTGCCCCCACACTCTGGAACTCCATCCCTTTGGCCTTCGCCTCGCGTCCTCCCTTGCCTCCCTCAAGGCTGGTCTCAGGACCCTTTTCTTCGACGTGCCTTCGGGCTCCCTCCCACCTCTCTGTCTTCCCTCCCCCCTACACCACCCTCCCCCATGCTCGGGCCCCGACAGCTGACTGTTCAGCGCTTTGGGACGTCCTCCCAACGTGAAAGGCGCTCTATAAATGTAATTTTGTTGTTGTGGTTGATGGGAGCATTGTGAGCATAGGGATGTCAGACTGTCAAATTCAGTCAGGCAAACATTCCTCGACTGCCTTTGCTAGGCGCTGATCAGCATAAGAAGTGTGAAGAGGATTAAAAAATAGTGTCTTTAATTATCCAGCAGTACTTCAGGGAGACAGATAGATGTTTTCGATCTCACTCTGATTTAACGGCAGATCATTTGTCAGAGAGACAATTCACTTACAACTGATGGGCAAAATGTGCCAGCCAAACCAGTGCCTTGGTTGTCAACTTTGCTCTGATGAGAGACCCAGCTTTCTGATGTGCTGTTTCTATTAGTACAAGGACAGCTTCGTTTGTGAGATTAAAGCCTTATTGGATCATTTAATCAGTCATCACTTTTTAAAACACAATTTGCTAGGGCTGACAAAAAAGGAAAGTGAGTTCTTTACAGCACAGCTGAGACTCAATCAGAATATTCAGATTTCATTGCCTTGAAACAAAGCAGAGCCGCCGTGCATACATGAACACTTCAGGGCTCGGGCACAATTATACTGCACAGTAGTCGTGCCATGCCTGCCTAAAAAGCCAATGCACTGGCTTCCTGGACAGGAGACACGGCAACAAATGATGAATGTAAAAAAGACAGGCACGAGCTCATCAAGGCATTGTAATTGAGTTAATTATAAGCGATATCTTTGTGTTACACAAAGCTACATCTTGCCCGAAGGACCTGTCATTATACAGTGCATGAGTGATGAATTGTCTAATTAATGCCTTATGGCATGACATTTCTCTTCCCCCCCCTTTCCTGACTCTGCAATTAATTTTCATATTATCAGCCTTGTTTGGTTCGATGGGTTCAGATGAATCACTTGGAATAAGATAGTTCCAAGGATACTGTCCGCAGTATGTCCTCTTATGAAAAACACATTCGCAGATTCATTTCACACCGAATGAACAAAATCCACTTTCTTTTTAACTCGGGGGGGAAGAGTTATAGATGACATTCAAACATTTAAAATTTGCAGAAGGCTGGTAGAGATTAGAACATTCCCCCACCCACCCACCCACCCACCCACCACTGACATCCCATACATTGAGCTTGCTAATCGATGCAATGGAGTCTTTGAAAACAAAAGCCCAATTAACAACCAAACTGAAGGTATTGTTTGATACGAACAACCTTGATTTCTTAATCCTATTGCTAAATTTAATGTTTTGGTTGTTTGGAGTTTCAGTTGCAAAGCAAATACAGAAATATAAGTTTCTTTAAATTATACAGCATTGTGCATCTTGTACTCATATCTGTCTTGCAAAGCTACTGTTTGTGTGTCTGTGTACAGCTGTTACACACCAAACAACCCGAAGTGCACATGTCTATAGCTCTTACACAGCTTTATGCAAAAAAATACAAATTTACATTTATATAGCACCTTTCACGTTAGGAAGACATCCCAAGGAGTTTAATAATCCTAGTTTAGTACCAAGCCTGGGGTGGGAATCAAGGGGGTGTGGGGAAGGGTGTAGTTTTATCCAACAGTTCTGCAGTATGTGAACCTCAATCTGTCAGTTCATTAACACACTGACATCAAGGTAGATGTATAGTGCATTCAGATGCACAAAGACTATTTTGCATTATTTTTCAATTTTGATTGAAACACAATTTATTAAATGGCTCTTTTGTAAGACAGCTCCAGAGCGCATTGTTTTACCTCAACAAATCCTGCTGATATTTTAAAGACTATAGTTCTGAAGTCAAAGAGCTTCCTTCATATGCATCAACAGTAAATGGAAAATTTACTGTGTTGTAGGGTGGTTGGCTCTAAGCTGTTTTTTTTAATGCTTTGCTGCTTCAAGAGTAGTGCCTTGATTTTGTGTTCTGAACGTATTTTGTGGCCGGATATAATTTTGGTCACTTCTCTCTCGTTAGAAAATACAGTAGTGTATTACCAAATACTGGCCTTTAGTTTTTTCGTACTCAATAACAATTTACATTTATACACAGCGTATACTTTCAATGCTTACCTCATAAGTCTTTTTATAAAACTGGGTCCATAAGATCCCAACTGGAGCTATATTAGGATGTGAGTGCATTCATTCATATGAATATAACTATGTGTTGTAGCCTGTCAGGGCTTTCACAATCACTGAGTGTAAGAGCAGAAAGGCAATGAGCTCCATCGCCACTTTAAGACATTGTCTACGAATAGGAAGCAAAACTGGACAACTTCTGGATGATCATGTCATTGGCAATGTCACTTCCTGTGCAGCCTGTGAAGAACATGATGTCTTCAGCGACTTGATGACCTGGAAGTCAGTCATTTAGCTTAAGTAAATGTCGGGATCCACACTGAAGTGAATTGTAACAGGATTCTACTGTATTTACATGGGGTCTCATCTTTCCAATACCTCCCCAGGATTGACACACACTCACCTGTAAATGGCTGAGGCTGGATATGTTCCTGTGTCATAACTGACACGTACGCGGCCACGGAACAGCTCCACGGCAACATGATCACGGTCTCCTTTGTACAGCAAAATCCCATTGTCTTCACCGGTGGCAACCTGGGAAGCAGAAGGAGTAGTATAGTTTAACAAATGGCACCTCGCAGAAAAAGGAAGCAAAGTACTGGAGGAGATGGAGGACATATGAACTGACCACAATGGACTTAGACATTGCCACTGGACGAATTTGCCAAGGGCACAGTGCAAATTAGGTTGGAATGAAACACACCGTTGCGTTGCAAAAATATTATGTTCCTCAAGAGGAACATTAGAATGACTAAAAAGATATAGGTCTGTTTCCTTGACGCAACAGCATTGAGTGTCTGGTTGTCTGTGTGTCAAATGTTTGCTCATCACAAAAATGTAAAATCTACACTTACAAACAACATTAAATATTGACTTCATTTTCATTTTTTTCATTTAGGGGACATTGCTGTGGGCAAATTGTAAATATAAACATTATAATTATTATTGATATCAATGCTGTACAGTTTTGGATTGTCCATAGAATCATACAATACTACACCACAGAAACAGACCATTCCCATCCATGAAGCGCTTTGGGATGTCCTCCTGATGTGCAAGGCATTATAGCAAATGTAAGGATTATTGTTATTATTTGATCCATCACTGATGATTTTCTCCATATGAGCCATCTAATCTAAACCCACTCTCCTGCTCTCACCACTTTAACAGTTCCTTATTTTTTTCTTGTTTGGTTCCCATGAAAGCTTCACTTAACATGAACACTGAAGCAACAATGCAAAGTGCAATGATATCGATCAACTTTAAGGAGATTCAACAACAACAAAATTACATTTGGAAAGCGCCTTTCACGTCGGAAGGACGTCCCAAGGCGCTGGACACACAGAGCTACGGACCCAAGCTGGGGGTCGGTATCGGGGAGGGTGGAGGGCAGCGAGGGAAGCAGGGAGATCAAAAGCACGGTTGAAGAGGAGAGTCTTGAGATGGGTCTTGAAGGTGGCAAGGGAGGGGGTGAAGCAGAGGGACTGTGGGATGGAGTTCCAGAGGGTGGGGGCAGAGTGGCCTGCCAATGGTGGGGGTGAGCGAGGCGGGGGGGCCTGAAGCAGGCCGGAGCCCACTGAGCAGAGGGAGCGAGCAGGATGGTAGAGGGTTAGGAGGTCAATAAAAGTAATCACAGATCTGAATGTGCATATTGACCACATTTCTTCAGAAACTGACTCCTGAGGTATGAAATTTAATCTAGTTCTTTCTCTGTGGGACCATTTGTTCTTAAAATTAAAGGTTGTTTAGAATTAAGAAAAATTCTTAAATTTAGTATTAATTTAAAAGCCACTTTTTCTACATTTTTAAAAAAAAACGGTTTCCAAATTAAGACTAAATTTAAGAATTTTCCAAAATCTATGTGATTTTAAATGTTAAGGCTAAATAAGTCTTACACACTAAGACCAGGGGAAATTTTGGACCAGGTATGACAAATGATCACAGAAGGACCAACCATTTTATTTCAAACATTTTCTTTTCGTACCTGGAGAGAGATATTAGGCTGAGGCCAGATTTTGGGTGAAGGGATCTGCAGGTAGGAGTCTCTGTTCACGAAGTTCACACTGATCAGCTTCTCACACTTGTCCCCCTCATAACCAGACAGGCACTGGCAGACAGGCTCGTTTCCAATCTCTATGCACTGAGCTCCATTCTGGCATTCAAAGTGGTCACAGGGGCTGGTGCGAGGTAAAACCATTGGGGGAGTCAGCTCACAGAACAGACCGCTGCGAAGAATCAAGAAAGAAACTCAGCTTAGCACTTATGGATAATCTTCATACAAATACTCCACCACATCAACAGATTCAGTAATCAGAGATCTGAGAGTAATTAAAATGCCAGCCTGACTCGTTTTGGTTTCATTTCAGAGTCAGAAGGTTGTGGGATCAAGCCCCACGTTGGAATTTTGGCTGACATTCTAATGTAATACCGGGAAAGCACTGGATTGTTAGAGGTACCATTTAACCTCTTCAAAATCCCATGAGACTGTTTGTAAAGAAATGTATCTTCTGGTATCCTGACCTCCAAATCAAAGTGGTCAGTCATTTCATGACTATTTATGGGACATTGCTGTGGGCAAATTGTAAATGTAAAGATTATAATTATTATTATAATAATTGGCTGCTGTGCTCGTCTGCAAATACACAATCAGTACACTTTACAGAAATTACAGTACCTGGTTTCTTACAAGGTCTATTATTACTTAACATAAAGGGAAACTACTTTGTAAACAGATACTAAACAGAGCGCTAGTGTTAGTGATCAGAAGTTTGAAGACTACAGCTATTGTCTGATCCCAATTTTGGCACACTGACAGGGAGGAAGGCTTGCCTCTAGTCACTAGGAGACAGCCCACATCACTGACATTCACAGTGCACTCCTCTACCTCTAGCAACTCATACAAATATCCCAGAAATTAATTTTGTCTCCATTCAGCCAACAAATCATGAGGCAGAGAGCAATTGCTGCTTGTCACATATATAAAAACGTTTCCACAGTAAGTCATAGATTTGTGCCTGCTCTGTGTACTGTGTATTACCTGCTACAAGTGACTTCCCCACCTCAACTCTTGCTCCTGGCTTACCTGTAACCCTCTGGGCATACGCAAGTGTATCCGTTCACTGCATCAATGCACTGTGCGTTGTTTTTGCATTTGTTCTCTTGGCAATCATCGTAGTCGATATCACAGTGTTCACCAACATAGCCAGGTGTGCATTCACATCTATAAAAGTCAGAAAATTAATCTCACATTGGTGAAACAACAACAAATTGGATTTATATAGTGCCTTTCACGTCGGGAGGATGTCCCAAGTTGCTGGATAGATGAGCTTGGGTTGAATTCAGGAGGGTTGGTAGTCAAGGGGAGTGGGTGGGGGGTGATGGAGGGGGTGGAGGACCGAAGCCACAGGCTTGAGGCAGGCGAAGAGGAAGGTCTGGAGAAGGTCTGAAAGAAGCTAAATTCACATTGAGTGTTAGTTGCTTGATTTAAAGGATCCCTTTATTGAAAGGTTGGTAGATTGTATTGGAGATACAGCTTGGCTCCTGTCCATGTTTCAAGGAACGCTGGATGCATGTGGCCTTGTTGGCAGTGTACACCGAATCTGAACAATATACCTGTGAGTGGGCGGAGCAATTATGTACCTGCAGGAAACAAGGAAGCACATCACAGCACCTGCTCAGGGCTGGACAACTTCCAACCTGCAACATCCATTCCTTATACAATTGCTGGCACGGTGGAGAAAACATGCAAACATTGTTATTTACAACACACAGCTCAAGCACACAGAAAATCAGGCAAAGATGTTGGGTTTATTTTGACAGACATTTGCTGCTTATCCAAGCTTCAACCAAAAGAACCCTGGCATTTTACTCAGTGTTCATCTTACAAATGTCACCTTTTGTTATTTTGGAATTACCTACATGTGTCACATGTCCTTACTGAGGTGGAGTCATGTTCTGTGTTTTCTTGTTTTTTGGTCAGTTGGGTGCCTGACACATGCAGGAACCCCTCACCACGCTGAAGAGTATCCAAACCAGATTCAGAGTTCCAAGCATCCCACATGGAAATTCCCGTGTTTGGAATGCCATGCACTCTCTTGCATTGCATGCTTCGATGCATGGCACACTCGGGCAGAGAGTTCTTTACAATTGTGAGTGACAGCGATAGGGACTGAACTGGAAGAGAAGCTCTCCTTGCATCGCAGGATTCATAGTGGACATCAAAAAATTGTGAAATTTGTTATGCTATTCTGACAACAATCAAATCCTGCGCCAATCATGGCTATCTTAGGACCTCAGTGTGTATAAATGGCTGCCATTTGCTTATCACTCGATAGTAATTACATGTGGAGTGTTTGAGGCTTTTGACACCATAATAATGCAAATACTGTCTTTCTCTCCCTTCTTCTCTCCCTTCAAAATTGAGGAACCGTCTTCGCATTAACCCACACATGTTTTAAAATTGAAAGGAATTCTAGATGTGCTTCTCATAGATTTCACACGGTGGAAGATCTCTGATTTGTTTCTGGTTCCTTCAACCTAGTGATACACTCTTTTAATGAGTAACTCATAAAAAACCCACAAGAAAACGTCAGGAACTTAGAATAAAGGTCTTCGCCACATACTTGAATCCCTTGGCAGTCATGATACACTTGGAGTCGTGCTGGCAGGAGTTCAGCTCTGGGGCACAGAAATCGAGTTTCTCTTCACACAGCTCACCTGGAACAGAAGGAGAAAGGTCTAAAAGGTTATTTCTGTTGCTGCAGGGAGACTTGAACTAAGCCTTAGAGTAATGAACAAGGTTCAGTGATGATCAACTCTAAACCTCAACAACTGGAGACAAAGAGAAAGAGAGAAATGATGGTCCCCATCTCTCTCAAAGTGCAGCTCACACGACGAATGATTTTATTATACACAGCAAAAAAAGGGGGATGTTTTTCTTCCTCAATCACAAAAGCCACCCCCACGTGATCCCAGCATTATATTATCCAATCATCCGGAACTAGTCAGTGGCTATCTTCACATCTGATACGGTGGAGGCACAAAGTAGGCTCTGGTTACTGAATGGGATTCTTTGCTTTCCTAGAGAATTTTTGATTATTCAAAGAATAGGTCACAGATTTCACATGTTCTTGTTCAGAATGTACATCATTTCATTAATTTGCTCTCCACACAATCAGAAAGGACTGCATTCTGCTAAATTCACTCCAGGTTCCTAATTCACTTATGTGTGCTGAGCACTGCAATAATTATAAAAACACTGTTCCATTTTACAGAGGAACAGAACTTGGCCATTTGGCTCATTGCTCCATAAGATGCTCTGTCATATTACTAGCTCATGGCAGCTTTAACATAATGTTATTTGTACTTTAAAATTATAACACTTTTTTTATGAATGTATTGGGGAAAACGTGAAAACGTATTACTAATCAAAGGAACACAGTAGCTAACTAGCATCAAAGTATTCACTTCCCAGAGCTTGCAGAGCAGAATTATTCTCAAAATTTATCAATTCAGTTGGAACATCAAGTACTTTCTGAATCTAAGTGTAATTCCATATGATCGTCTGAGTAAATACACTGAGTCGAAATCCCGTTGCACTTCAGCAAGCACATCATCTATAATGTGGTACATACTCAATAAATTCCTGGATTAATATAGAGTAATTGACACATTATTCATGCCCACGCAGTAAGTAGATAGATATGGCCTTTGATGATCACAGGTAAGGAATGGTTAAGAGGGTCTTATTTTATTTACCATGTCCTTAAACATTCTTTTTAAGATCAGCCAATCTAGTTTACTGATGTGATACAATAGACAAGAGGATCGGCAGAACGAGATGGGATTTTATCTAAATTCTGGGGATACAATTGTTGTATCCAGAATGGGATACAAAGGTCCCATGGGTGGGACCTTTCTTGGCGATTTTAATGTAAAAATAGTTACATTTTGGTGACTGTGTGGTGCAGAAGGTTACCATACTGTTCATCTGTGAGACACCTCTTGGTATCATCAGTTTCAATCTAGCACTGACGAATGGAAGGACAATTGCCAATTGATCTATTGGCTAAAAGAGATCAAAGAGTTGGTGAATCCAACGTTTAAGTGGACAACCAGATGCCTGCTCATAACAACAACAACAACAAGATTCCATTTATAAAGCGCCTTTCACGTCAGGAGGACGTCCCAAGGCGCTGCACAGTTGGGTCATGACCCGAGCAGGGGGGAAATGGTCAGGGTGAGGGGAGGGAAGGGAGGGAGCGAGGAGGGGGAAATGGTCAGGGTGAGGGGAGGGAAGGGAGGGAGCGAGGAGGGGGAAGAGAGTCGAGAGGGGAGCTGAAGGCTCGGTCAAAGAGAAAGGTTTTGAGACCGGCCTTGAAGGAGGAAAGGGAGGAAGCAAGGCGAAGGCACTGGGGGATGGAGTTCCAGAGTGGTGGATGAACTGAAAATCCACATTTTTGAAGGCACTGGGGGATGGAGTTCCAGAGTGGTGGATGAACTAAAAATCCACATTTTTGAGATCGGAATAAAGTTAGGCTGTCAGAACAGGAAGGGAGAACAATATTCTGGATCTAGTAAAGTTGTATCTGACCTGTTTCATACTGACACTCAAATTGGCTTCAAACCGTGGAGAAAATATAACATTCATGAGGTCTGACACCTTTCATCTTGACAAGCACAAATCACAGATTAGAAAACTGCTTCCTTTCTTTGACAGCACAACTGTGGACAGCAGCAACACATCTTTCTCCTGCCAACATCTGTTACAGATCACCTGCCTATTGCATTACATTCAGCATTCTTGTCAGTGAGAGACCAGAGAAACGCACAACCCCAACTGGTTGTGGGAATATGGAATGGACTGTCTTGAAGGCCATAGATACACAGTCACCTAAAGTATTGATGAGTGAGATACATACCTATTGTGTTTGCCCACAGAACAACAGTTACTCCACTTTGCACTTTGAAACAATCATGAATAGCCCTGAATAAAATTACCAATTTTTTCTCCATTAGATTGTTGGCCAGGACAGCAGGAGAAACTCAGTTCTCTTTTTGAATAGTGCCATGGGATCTTTAATAGCCAGACACAATTTCGGTTTAATATCTCATCCAAAGGATAGCACCTTCAAAAATGCAGTGCTCCCACAACACTGCATTAGAGCTTAGATTCCTGACCTGCAGCTTCAGTCCATACCTACTGAACAAGAGGCAAGAATCCTATCAACTGAGCCAGACTGACACTTAGTACTGGTAATATTTGAAGCTGACAGTAGGTTTCAACTAGCACTAATTGCTAACAGTAGTGATCTTTTACATTCAGTCTCCAGAAATGGAAAATCCCAATCCAAAAGATTTAAAGAAAAATACTATTAATAATCCTCACATTTGGTACAGCGCCTTATCATGCTGGAAGAACGTTTCAATGCGCGTCATGGGATTTACTGTGAAATGGAGTGACTGTGTATTTATAGATAAATGTGGCAGCACAATTGAGCACAGCAATGTCCCACAAACAGCCATGAAATGAATGACTAGTTTTATTTGGGGGAATTTTGGGCAGGACACAGGGAAAAACTCCCTTCTCTTTTTGAATAGAAAATATTGCTATTAGGTTATTTAATTCTCCCCCTACCCTGAAATTTCACTCACCAGTATATAGACCTCCCCTGTACTTTAATAATCACAAATAGTTATTCAAAAAGTATCAATTAAAAAAAAAAGAAAATAATGCTGAATGTTGGTAGAAGTGACAAAAGCTCTGCCTATGTGGAGCATCATTGCCTGCAGCTTGAGAAGACAGTGGCAATGATCGTTCAGGGGATGACTATCTGTCAAACACTGTCATATTTGCTCAGCGCAAAATGTACCATTGTAATTTCAACATTAAACGATGATATCGGTCATTAAATTTTCACCATTCCATTCCAAATGATACAAAACATTAAAAGTTTCATTCTTCCTTATGGCACATGTGCATCTTAGTCTATAATGTATACTGTGGTTATTCAAACGTACCTTTTACAGCACTAACCTATTTTTGACCCCATGTAGACCAATATGTGGAATGTAAGAGAATAGGACTCTGGCATTGGAGACCAGTCAATCGTGCAAAAAGACCCACAATGTCACTGGTGGCCAGTTTCTGTGTATAACTGCATGTTATACAGCTAACCTTAGGCTCTGTTATGTGTCCAATTCCAACATTCCCACTGAGTGACTATTCATTTGCTAGTTTATCTCCCCTGGAAGGCCTAGTTGCCAGCATCTATGGGTGTAAATGTTAAGGATTAAGCTTCAAAAGCTTATCTTGGTTGCAGAGGTGCAGATTTCCATTCCTGCAATACTGCACTCTCTTACGAGTGTCAGCCACATTAATCAACCAATTTCAATACAGTTGCTGTTAATGGAAAAGAGAATTTCATGTATATTTCAATCCTTTACTGCCCCTCCAGAGGTGTACTCTGTTTTTTTATTGTAATGTTTTGTTTCTACTGGGTATGCTGTAATTATACCATGAATCTTACCGCAGAGATTTCCTTTCTGCAGAATGGTGGTGATTATGCATCTTACTGCTTTCCAGTTTTCTGATAATTGCATTATTTATCTTACTTTTGCCAATTCATGGTGCTAGAGTTGAAATGTACTATTCTTAACTAGATGAATCAAAGTGACACAGAACTCACCAGAGGCCCCATTAAGTGACACACCAAATTGTTCAAGATCTCACACCTATAATAAAATGCCCTGCCTCAATAGCAGAGTGCTACAAAGCTACACAGCAAGTACAATGGAAAGTGAAGGACAAGAAAAGGTGTTTCATTCCACCATAATCCTACCTTAATCAATACCGCATTCAGCTTCTATCTGAAGTTTAATTTTTTTTGCCTCCGTAGCACATCCCCCCACCTCCGATGTCAGTAATATAGGTTAAACACAAAAATGTCCAAGCCCTGACTCTGTGGATATCACTTAAGACTTCTTTCTGTTCTTTCGTTTTATGTATCCTCTCACTAGTATGCTCATTTTCCTATTTTTCAACCAATCTTATTATTTCAATAATATCCTTCAATTCAACTGAGTGATAAAGGGAACGTACAGATGTCAGTTTACCTACAAAATCAGTCGCTTTGCTTGAAGGTAAGGCATTTTGTATCCATTCGATGTGATAAGGCTCTGTAAAAATCACATTATTTCTTTCTCTGTGTTAAAAATAGGATAGTTAGATAGAGACTGGTATGGCGACAAAGGGCAATCATTTCTCTGTACCAATGAGCTAATGAGGTTGAAAATGTGATAGGCAGAAACCAGAAGTCACTGTGATTTACGGATTGTGAATGAAATTGTTAACGGATCCTCTAAAGCTGTTGCACAAAAAAAATGTGATCGCAAAGACTGGGAAATAAGATCTAGTGGCTCTGCTTCATTTCAGACCTTTTCTCAGACCTTTCAGGCTTTTTTTGGCTAGAAACATGGCAAGAGCTAAACCCTGACTCTAGGAGTTGCCTTCCCCAGCCTCCGGGATCAAAGATTTTTGGCAAATCTTTACCCGTAATTTTAACAACAACAAATTGCATTTACATAGTGCCTTTTACGTCGTGAGGACAACCCAAGGCGCTGGGCTGTCGAGGGTTTACACCTTAACTTCATTCTGGAACCTTAAGTCACAATTAAAGTTCTTTGACTTTCGAGCTTGCAATAATCTTATTTTGGAC